AAGTAAATACTATTAACTCTAAAGAGAGAGAGAAAAACTCCAATATAATAATAGGTGGGAATTTCAACACCCCACTCTCAGCATTGGAAAGTTTATTTCTAGAAAAATGTCAATAAAGAAACATCTAATTTAAACTGTGCTACAGACCAAATGGACCTAATAGACATTTACAGAACAGTTCATTCAAAAACTGTAGAATACACTTTCTTCTCATAAGCTTATGGAACATTCCCCAAGGTAGACCACATGTTAGACCACAAAACAAATCTCAACAAATTTAAAACATCAAAAATATATCAACTATCTTTTCAGACCATAAAGAAATAAAACCAAAAGTCAACAAGAGAATCTTTGAAAAGTATACAAATACAAGGAAATTTCACATGCTCCTGAACAATCAATGGTTCAATGAAGAAATTTTTAAATTTCTTTTTTCAAAGAAGAAAACTTTTAAATTTCTCAAAACAGGAGGGAGGCTGATTGGCAAGTTCTATATAGCACATCTCCTGGGTGAAAGGCTCAACTACAATTTGAACTTTACCTTAGAAGCAAAAACAATGTGATCTAAACATTTGTACCCTCAAATGTCCAATCTGAAATATAAAAAATTACAAAATAAAATTTCTCAAAACAAATGAAAACAGAAACACAGCATACCAAACCTAAGGATATGCTAAATCAAAGGATTTCCCCCCAGCTTTCTGACAGCACCCACCCTAGAGTGAGCCCCCTTTATTAGACCAAATTACCCAACCAGTGCCCCAAATCTATAGAGCAGAGATAAAGCCACAGTTGGTAAAGAACTAGCAATCATTCATTTTAGCCTAGAGAAGAGAAAGTTTAATAAATTGAATTAAATAAGAAAAAAAAAAAAAGGCCAGGTACAGTGGCTCATGTTTATAATTCTAGCACCCCAGTGGGCTCAGGCAGGAGGATCCCTTGAGCTCAGGAGTTTAAAAACAGCCTGATCAAGAGTGAGACCACATCTCTACTAAAAACAGAAAAATTAGCCTGGCATTGTGGTGGACACCTATAGTCCTAGCTTCTTGGAAGGCTGTGGCAGGAAAATCACAACCCAGGAGTTTGAGGTTCCTGTGAGCTGGGGTGATGCTAGGGCACTCTAGCCTGGGGCAACAGAGTGAGATTCTATCTCCAAAAAAAAGGTTTAATACCTAATACCAGTGATGGTAGAGAATAGGAGGAGACTTTCTTAAAATGAGTATTTAGGGATTGGGGATACAATTTTCAATTTTTCAAAGCTGAAAGGAAATGTACTTCTACTAAAAAGATTTCCGAAAATGAAAACTCCATTTCTGTCATTATCATGTGACTACTACATAACTATTATACTTGATCCCATTTGGGAAGAATATGAATAAATATGTGTATCACATAAGCAAATTAGATTTGCGAATGTCTCCTCTTAGGAGTGTGGAGATACTAACCTTGAAAGTAGCTGGACTTCCTAAAAACCTAAACAGAATTTTCAATCATTTGTTTCTTTATTATCGTTTGTTTATTATTTATTAAATAAATGATCATTAGGTCTTAAAAAAAACTATGGAATATAGCAAAAGCAATTCCAAGAGGGAATTTTATAGCAATAAACATCTACATCAAAAAGTTAGAAATATTTCAAATAACCTGAATATGCACCTCAAGGAACTAAAAAAGTGAGACAAACCAAATCCAAAGTTAGAAGGAGGAAAGAAATAATGAACATCAGAGTCTCAAAAAATACAAAAGTTCAATAAAGTGAAGAGTTGATTTTGTGAAAAGATAAAATCAACAAAAATTTTAGCTGGGCTCAGTGCCTGTAGCTCAGTGAGTAGGGCGCCAGCCACATACACCAAGCCTGGCAGGATTGAGCCCAGTCTGGGCCTGCCAAACAACAATGACAACTGAAACCAAAAAAAAAAAAAAGTGCCAGGCATTGTGAAAGGCACCTGTAGTCCCAGCTATTTGGGAGGCTGAGTCAAGAGAATCGCTTAAGCCCAAGAATTTGAGGTTGCTGTGAGCTGTGACACTCTACTGAAGGCAACACAGTGAGACTTTGTTTCAAAAAAAAAAAAACTTTAGCTAAACTAAATAAAGTGAAATAAGAAAGAAGATACAAATAGATGAAATCAAAAACAAAAAGAAGAAACATTACAACTGAAACCACAGAAATACAGATCATCAGAGTCTACTACGAAAAACTATATGTCAACAAATAAGAAAATCTAGAGGAAACAGAAAAAATCCTGGACCCATACAACCTACCCAGATTGAACCAGAAAAAAGAGAAACCTAAAAACAATTAAAAGTAATAAAATAGGGTGGTGTCTGTGGCTCAAGGAGTAGGGCGCCAGCCCCATATGCCAGAGGTGGCGGGTTCAAACCCAGCCTGGCCAAAAACCGCCAAAAAAAAAAAAAAAGTAATAAAATATATTAATAATAAAATCCCCAACAAAGTAAGCCCAGAATCAGATGGCTTCACTGCTAAATTCCACCAAACATTCAAAGAACAAGTAATACCAATTCTTCTCAAACTATTCTAGAAAAATTGAAGAAGAGGAAATTTCTCCAAACTCATTCTACAATGCCAGCATTATCCAGACACTAAAATCAGACAAATAAACAAGGAAAAAAAGAAAACTGTAGGCAATATCCATGATGAACATAGACCAAAAAATCCTCAAAAAAAAAAAATAGTAAAACAAATCAAACAGCACATTAAAAAAATTACACACCAGAATCAAGTGGGATCTATCCTAGGGATGCAAGAATGGCTTAGCATATGAAAATCAATAAACATAATACATCACATCAATAGAATGAAGGATAAAACCATATAATAATGGTCTCATACACAAAGAAAAAGCACTTGACAAAATTCAACATCTCATGTCAAAAACTTTCAACAAATTAGGTATACAAGAAATACAGGGGGCAGAGCAAGAAATCAGACTAGAAACATCTCCTTTGTAGACACCTGTGTCAAAGCAGAAAAAAAAAACTCCAACCACCTCTGGCTGGGGGAACCTATGCAGCGGCATCACTCTGGGGGCACAGTGAAGCAGTGTAGTCCACAGTGAAGCAGTGGACTACAGGAGCCAGCAAAGAGGTCTGGAGCTAAGGAAAACCAGCACAGAAGGCAAGTGCTAAGGAACGGGCACAGAATGGCCAGCCAGCCCATCTGTGGAGTACTGGGGGGCAGGAAGAGGCTGTCTTATAGTTTTTTGTATTTTTGTTTTTATTTTCTATTTTGAGCTAAACTGCTCACTAGAGCTGGCTGGGAAGGCTTAAAAGAGTGGGTGCACTCAAACAGTATCCAACGGCCAGGATTAAATACCACATGGGGTGGATCTCCCATCATTGTGGCTACTAGCTGGGCACTGCCATTGTGGGAAGGCCATGCGGGAGAAACAGCATACAGGGTTCGAGTGCACAGCCATTCTGGTGCACCTGTTGAGCTCGGGCATCCACCCCCTGCTCTAATTGCTGTCAGGTAGCACTGTGTGATGTGCTTACTGAGGAATCTAGTGAAAACTTTTGGACCCAATTCCACAGAAACTTAATGCTGACAAAGCAACCAAGCCCTGACTGAGGGCAACTAAATCAGGAAGGCAGGACCCAATCTCCTCTGCAACTAGAGGATGGCTTCCAGCCCTAATTTTTTACAGCAAAATAGCTATGTTCTCCATCTCCTAACACACAGCACCACCTGGTATCTAGGCAATATATACATATAAATACATATACATATTTATACAGATATATAGATTATTTATACATGTACATATACAGATATATACTTATATATGTGCGTATTTCTTGAAGGGGGTGTTTGCTTGCTTGATTGTATTTTTATTTTTTCATTTTTAGTTTCTTCAATAGCAAAGGCTCCTCCATTTTTGTTACAGTTTTTCAGCCCCTTTTATTCTCTTTCTTTTTTATTTTTCTCCCTTTTTCTTCCTTTTGGTAGAGACTTCTTTACTTTCTTCAACTTTCCCACACAAATTTCTCATACAACAGATAAGATATCCCTTTTTTTCTTTATATGATTGTATTTTTAGTTTTCTTTATCTATTTTTATTTTTTTCTTTGAGTGCTGGGGGAGTCACAGCATAGGTCTGGCTCAAGGAAGTCATTAGTTCACAATGTAATGTGTCCTTCTAGCTTTGGCCTTTGGAAAGAGTATTGGCAGGACCCCACTGTGACATACTGCTGATTTTTTTTTTTCCCTTTCCATATTTGTCAGAAGTGGGGTCTTGCTTTTCTCCAGGCTGGTTAGGAGCTCCTGACACTGAGGGACCTGCCAGCCCAGCCCCCCAAATTCCTGAGTTGCCAATGTGGACATAGTACCCAGCCAAACAACACCATTTCTCCTGTTGTTCTCTTTGTTTTCTTTCACTATCTTCTTTATTTTTCCTTTTTCTTTTCCTTCTTCCTTCTAGATCTTTCCTCTTCTCTTCACTTCAACACCTAAGCTCTGAGACAAGGTAATTTGAAGTGAAGGAGGTAGTGAGAAGGAAAAAGTAGGGCAAGGAAGTAAACAAGAAGAAACTCAAATTAATAACAAAAGAAGAGTAGACAATCCCATCTATCACTAGGCAAGAGACATGAACAGGACCTTGCTGAAGAAGACAGACAAATGGCTAACAAACATACGAAAAAATGCTCATCACCCCTAAGCATCAGAGAAATGCAAATCAAAACCACCTTGAGATGTCACCTAACCTCAGTAAGATTAGCCCACACCACAAAGTCCCAAAGTTACAGATGCTGGCCCAGATGTGGAGAGAGGGGAACACTTTTGCACTGTTGGTGGAGCTGCAAACTAATACAGCCACTTTGGAAAGAAGTAGGGAGATTCCTCAAATAACTCAAATTAGACCTTCCTCCTTGTTGCAACCATCTCTGCAGCACTCCTCCACTACTTCTGTAGACTCTGGCAGCTTTATCGCTAGAGTCCCCAAACTCCCACTTTCTCTTCCATCCCCCACATTGGATTACCCATGTGCCCCACCACGTCAGACACAGCAGTAGACACCAGATCTGAGATCACCACCAAGGACTTACAGGAAAAGAAGGAAGTTATGGACAAGGCAGAGACTGGAAGAGAGGCCTCTGCTAATGGGAATGCTACTGAGGAAAATGGGGAGCAGGAGGCAGACAATGAGGTAGATGAAGAAGAGGAAGAAGGTGGGGAGGAAAAGGAGGAGGAGGGTGATGGTAAAGAAGAGGATGGAGATGAAGATGAGGAAACTGAGGCCACCATGGGCAAACGGGAAGCTGAAGATGAGGAGGAGGATGTAGATACCAAGAAGCAGAAGACTGATGAGGATGACTAGACAGCAAAAAAGGAAAAGTTAAACTTAAAAAAAAGTTCACGATGACCTATTCACCCTCCATTGCCCATCTCAGAATCTATAAACACTGTCACCTTCAGTAGAGAGCCCTCCCACCCACCACAGGCAGTGCCACCCGCAGGTATTTCACTGCCCAGCCAAAACCACCAGAATTTTCAACAGGGGAGGAAAAAAGAACCAAAACTTCCAAGGCCTGCTTTTCTTCTTTAAAGTACTTTAAAAAGGAAATTTGTCTGTATTTTTTATCTACATTATATATTTTTGCACATATTGTTAGGGGCCAGCCATTCTTAATGATCTCAGATGACCAAACAAGCCTTCAGAGCAGACTCTGTCCTACTTCTGACCCTGACTTTATTTGTGGGGTGACGATGTTCATTATAATCTCAAAGGAGAAAAACCCTTATAAAAAAAAAAAAAAAAGCAAAAACAACAAAAATCAATCTTATTCCAAGCATTTCAGTAACTTTTTTTGTGTATGTATTTAGCTGAACTATAAGTAGTTGGTTTGTATGAGATGGTTTAAAAGGCCAAAGATAAAAGGTTTATTTTATTTCCTTGTATTTTTGTCTATGAAGTTGCTGTTTGTTTATTTATTTATTTTTGGCCTGTTTGAAGTATGTGTGAAGCAATGTTGTCCAAAAATAAATTGGAATTTCATTTTTCTGAGTTGTTCTAACAATAACAACAACAAAAAAATAGACATATGGACCTATGGAACAGAATAAAGAAACCAGGCTTAAATCTATGTGTAGCTGACTGATAATCTACAAGGAACCAACACTATACATTGGAGAAAGGGCAGTCTCTTCAATAAATGGGAAAATTGGATAACCATATGTAGAAGAATGAAACTAGACCCATATCTCTCATCAGATACAAAAATCAATATAAAATGAACTAAAGACTTAAATATAAGAACAAGAACTATAAAACCCCTTGAAGATAACATAGGGAAAATACTTCAAGACATTGTTCTAGGCAAAGATTTTATGGAGAGGACGTCAAAGTACAAGCAACAAAAGCAAAAATGAGACTGCATCAAACTCAAAATGATCTTCACAGCAAAGGAAACAATAGAATAAAGAGACAACCTGCAGAATGAGAAAAAAATTTCACAAACTACATATCCAACAAAGGATTCATGTTCAGGAGCTCAAACAACAGTAGAAAAACAAATAATTTGGTTTAAAATGAGGCAAATGATCTAAATAGACATTTCTCAAAGGAAAACATACAAAAGGCCAATAAATATATGACAAAATGCTCAACATCACTGATCATCATGGAAATGCAAATTAAAACTACAATGAGATATCATCTCATCCTGGTTAGAGTGGCTATTATCAAAAAGAAAAAAAGCAATAAACACTGGTGAAGATATACAGAAAGAATAATTATTGGTGGGAATATAAATTATTATAGCCAGTATGGAGAACAGTGTAAAGGTTCCTCAAAAACTAAAACAGAACTACCATGTGATGAACAACTCTACTACTACTGGGAATGTATCTGAAGGAAAGAAAAGAAGTATGCCAAAGAGACATCTGCCCCCCCCCATGTTTACTGCAGCACCGCTCACAACAGCCAAGAGATGAAATCAATCTGTGTCCATCAACATCTTAAAGAACAAAAAAAGTCAGCCATTAAAAGAAAAAAGAATGAAATCTAATATTTGTAACAACGTAGCTGAGCCTGGAAAACATATTAAGTGAAATAACCCAGGGACAGAAAAATAAATAGTACATGTTCTCACTCATATGTGAAAACTAAAAAAAGTTGAACTCATAGAAATGGAGAATATAAAAGGGGTTACTAGAGACTGGGAAGAGTGGAGTGGAGGGAAAGAGAAGAAAGGTAGTTAGTGGATAAAAACTATAGCTAGATGAGAGACATAAGTTCTAGTGTTCTGTAGCATTATAGGTGACTACAAACAATAACTTATTGCATATTTTCAAATAGCTGTGAAAGAGAATTTTTGAATGACCCCAGCACAAAGAAATGATAAATGTTTAAAGTGATGGATATGCTAATTATCATGATCTGATCATTATACATTATATACATACATCAAAATATCACACTGGGGGCGGAGGCAAGATGGCAGACTACAGCCAGATTTTTACAGAGGCTCCCATCCAGAAGGAGACTTAAGGACAGAAGTTTAGCAAGGGAGCTGATGGTTTGGAGTGGAGCCAAGAGAGAAGATTGAAGAACACACTTCAACCTTGCTGAAGTGAGCTGCGACCCCAAAAATACAATTAAAAGGTACAAAATCCACCACCAAGCAGATGGGAGTCCCCTCTCCCACAAGAAGGGCTCTCAGTTTACTCCATACAAACAAGAAAGCAGAGTTCAAACATCTTCCCACTCTATCCCACGGGAGAGACCCCCTAAAAACTGGACCTCCTACCCCTACTGGTGTGCCATGGCACCCTCTTGCCAGGTATAAAACTGTAAAACTGTATAAAACTGTATGTATCCCCTACCTGCAACTCTGAACTCTGAGGATTTCACACACCCCCACTCTCACCCCAAGGTCTGGAGGTTTGTCACCCATAGAGTCCAAAATCTTGGGCATTTCCTTGAGAGGAATGGAGGTGTAAAGGGCTGGTGCTGCTCTGTGCTAACTCTGTGGCATGGGAGTAAGGAGAAAAATCTGGGCTTGGAGGAAGCCATACAGAAGCTGCAGTGTCCTGAGCTGCAGGAGATGCTCAAATCCCTGACACCATTCAAAATAGGCATGCCCTGTCTCTCTGGGCAACTAGAGGTTCCAGACAGCAGCCACTGGCAGAACAGACTTGGGAAGTTGTGAGTAAAGAGACCATTAGTACCTAGCCCTCAGGGGAATATAGCTGAGACAAAAGCAGTGGGCAGGCAAGGCTGGAATTGACACCTGAGTGTAAACCATAATTGCTTGCTGCCCAGGACTGAGTTTCTTATCAGCTCTAGAAGCTTCTGACTTGCAGAGGAATCTAGCCAGGACAGAAGGTATGGGGCTGGAACTGAGGGAACTTTCCTAGCCTAAATTCTTCCCCTGCCTCACTCAGATCACCAGGTGACTCTGGCAGTCATAAACCCCAGGAGCAGTTCCTTATTGAAGTGAACTAGGTTAAACCCCTGTGGGATTACCAGTGTCTGGGTGAAAGGTGGGGAAGGAGGTATCAACCTTCCCAGACTAATTCATTTGCTGGGTGGGTCCTTTTGCCCACACAAAGCACTGGAGCAAGTTATATCTGAGCTGCCAGCAGATCCCTCTTTATCTAGGTGCTGGAGACATTTGAACTCTCCTACCTGAGACTAGTGCTGACTGGGATAACCAATTTGGACCCCTTGAGCCACCCAAGGATTATCCAAAGTGGCACCCTGGATATATGGTTGAGGGAAGGTTTGATTTTCCTTGCCCAACTGTTGTTTGTGGGGGGTGGGGAGACTTAATTGCTGGTATTTCTCTATAGCTGAGACTTCGACCAAGAGTAACTGATTCACTAGGGTAGGACAGAGACCAGCTGAAAATAAGACAGAGCCACTTAGCCCCATCACACCAAGCAGGTCCCCAGTCTCTCAGGCCGTAACACCTTACAGGTCCTTGACAAAGCTCAAGGGGAAAAGCCAAATGGGGTAAAATAATCATGGTGTGGAATCAGCGGAAAAGCTTCCGTAATATGAATAACCAGAGTAGATCAACCTCCCCAAGAAAGGATGTGGCTGGTAATATGAATAACCAGAGTAGGTCAACCCCTCCAAGAAAGGATGTGGCAGATGAAACTGAAGATCCCCTTTATAAACAGATGGCTGAGATGTCAGAAATTGAATTCAGAATTTGGTTTGCAAATAAGATTAATAGAATAGAGGCAAATATAGAACCAGAAATTCAAGGAGCATTCCAATAGTTCACTCAAGAATTCAATGAATTCAAAGACAAAACCACCAAAGATTTTGAAACATTGAGGCAAGAGATAGTAGCCCTCAAAGATCTGAAAAATATGGTAGAATCTCGTGATAATAGAATGCAGCAGGCAGAAGAAAGGATCTCAGATGTACAAGACAAAGTTTCTGAATGCACCCAAGCATCCAAAGAGGAACAGAAATGGAAAGTAAAAATGGATCATCCTCTCAGAGAGCTCTGTAATAATTTGAAGAAAACTAATATTCACCTTATAGGAATCCCTGAAGGTGACAGAGTTGCTTCACAAAACACAGATGCTCTTCTTCATGAAATTATGAAAGACAACTTTCCAGATATGCCAAGAGATCCTGAAATTCAGATAGCAGACAGCTTCAGAACCCCAGCATGACTCGACCCAAATAAGACATCCCCCAGACACATTATAATTAACTTCACTAAAGTTAATATGAAAAAGAAAATCCTACAAGCAGCTAGATGTAAGAAAACCATAACCGACAAAGGGAAGAATATTAGAATGACTGCAGATCTCTCTACCAAAACCTTTCAGGCCAGAAGAGAATAGTCATCGACATTTAATCTCCTAAAACAAAATAACTTTCAACCCAGGATCCTGTATCCAGCTAAACTGAGTTTCATTTATGACGGAGAAATTTTTTTTTATTAAATCATAGCTGTGTACATTCATGCAATCATGGGGTATAGTGTGGTGTTTTCATACACATTTTGAAATACTCTCATCAAACTGGTCAACGTAGCCTTCATGTCACTTTCTCAATTATTGAGTTAAGACATTCATACTCTTCTTTTAGAAAGATTCACTTGTACCCTTGTAGGATAAACCATAAAGGTGACCCCTCCAATCACCCTCCCTCTACTCATCCACCCCCTTCCCTTTCCCCTCCCTCCCCACTCCTTCCCTCTCCCTTCCCCCTCCCTCCCTCCTCCCCATATTCTAAGGCTATAATTAGGTTATAACATTCCTAGGAAAGCTATAAATTAGTGTCAAAATAGGGCTGTGTACATTGGATACTTTTTCTTCCATTTTTCAGATACTTTGGTAAGAAGAACATTT